AGACCGCTACGTCCCCCAACTCCAGAGCTCCCCCACACTCCACAGCTTCCCCACTGCGCCTGCGCACCCCCCGCCCGCAAAAGTGAGAAAGGTCCCGAGCAATAAGAGATGCTCTGCCCCTTTAAGACTCGGGAGAGGAGTGGCTTCCGCAAGGGCCCTTGAGGTGCGACTGAGCCTGCGCGTTTTCTCCCACCCACTCCCTACCCCCACCAACAACTCCGGAAGGAATGGGCAGGGTCTCAAGCGGTTTAGCGAATTTCCCAGCTCTTGTTCTCCCTCAACCTCTAGCTCAGTCCGCAGATTCTTCCAACAGAAGGATGGGCGGGGCTTTCTAAAAGGGAAGGGCAGCGGGCAAGTAGGCGGCGCGTCCAGAGTTTAAACTGGCAAGGTGATACAAGGTCTCTTCTGCTGTTGGGAAGTTTTATAATCATGTATAGGGATTGGTAGCAGCAGAGGGCTAAAGGAGGGGGTTCATACGGCCTGAAGTGGGCAATGTGTAGAATGGTCTAACAATACGTCTGCCCCGGGAAAAGGAGGTTTGGGGAAACCAGAGAGTGCTTGCCCCTCCTCCGCCTGGGTGTGGGTACTGGAGCTTCAGGGGTCTCCTCCCCCTCCTCATCCAGCCCCCGGGAGTGCATCCTTCCCTCCATTTCTCACTCACATCCCCTTTTCTGTCTTGGAGATCGAGGTGTGGGGCGAGCAGGCCCTCTGATACCGGAACTGGAGTCGTGCGGCGTCCAGTTTCCACGGGGAAGGCTTAGGCAGCAGTCCCGGCCTTCGGACTTCCGGGTTCTGTCCACTGATTCCGTTGGCAGCAGTCGCTATGGAGGAACCAGAGATGCAGCTCAAGGGGAAGAAAGGTGGTGGGGGTCCCCGGGAGGGACCGGAGGGGTCTGGGAACTCGCGGAGGGGCGCCTTCACAAAGGGGAGCATGGCAAAGGCGCGGAGGGAGCGTTCAGGGAACAGTGATATAACTGCTATTGAATCTGAGCTCAGCCACTAGCTAGTTTTGAAATCTTTAGAAATGATTTTGTCAAATCGAATGCAGCCTGGGTCCGCCAGGCCCGCCACAGGCGCCCGCCACAACGCCTGGCCATTTTTTGGTTGCGGCCATCATTGTTTTGGCGAGCCCAGGCTGGATTCGATTAAAATAAATAGTCTGTAAGTGGCTTAGCAGGGGGCTCAATTAGGGCAAAACTTGGCCAGGCCGCCAAGTTTTGTCAAAACCGGGTCTGGTTTTGTCATCTGTAAAATGAGGCATGTAATACCCCCCTCGACTGTTAATAATTCACTAATCTGCCCGGGCGCTGTTGCTTACCTGTAATCCCAGCATTGGGGGATTGGGGGAAGAGGGAGGATCATTTGGGCCTAGGAGTTCCAGGCTGTCATGAGTTGTGATCGTGCCACTACACTTTACACTCGATCCTAGGCGACAGAGCGGGACCCTGTCTCTTTAAAAGAAAAAGAAATCATAACCTGGTATTTATAACACATTGGAAGAATGCTTAGGGTGTGGTAATTGCTGTTCCTGATGTCTCATTTCTTTCAACTTTTTTTTTTTTTGAGTCAGCCTAACTCACAGCAACCTCAAACTACTGGGTTCAAGTGATGCGATCCTCCTGCCTCAGCTTCCCAAGTAGCTTGGACTACCAGTGCCTGCCACAACACCCGGCTAATTTCTTCTATTTTATTAGAGATTGGGTCTCGCTCTTGTTCAGGCTGGTCTCTAACTTGTGAGCTCAAGGGATTCTCCTGAGTCCGACTCCCAGTATGCTAGGATTACGGGCAAGAGCTACTATGCCCTGGCTGACTGGCTTTCTTCCTTCTTTCTTTGTTCCTTTCCTCCCTTTTTTCCTTTTTGAGACAGGGTCTGACTCTGTCACTCAGGCTATATTGCAATGGTGCCATCATAGCTTATTACAGCCTCAAACTTCTGGGTTCAAACTTCCTGTTGCTTAAGACTCCCCAGTAGCTGGCAGTACTGGGGAGTAGGCATACACCACCCAGCTCTACTAATTTTTCTATTTTTTTTTGTAGAGATGAGGTCTCACTCTTCCTCAAGCTGGTCTCAAATGCATGACCTCAAGCGATCTTCCCACCTGGCCCTCCCAGAGTACTAGGATTAGAGGAAGGCCGTAGCCTAGCCCATATTTTCAAAATGTGCACACATTTTAAGAAAACTATATTAAAGTGGTAATAATATATATCAATAACAAAAGATGAAGATAACTGATGTTTGAGCACCTCTTCTAATTGCAGAATTCAAACATGACTTAAGTATTACCATCTTAATACAATTTTCTTCTGTCTTAAAATCTTTATACATTTTTTTGGCACTCTCTGTATTTATGTATTTCTTTTTTTGAGACAGAGCCTCAAGCTGTTGCCCTGGGTAGGGTGCGGTGGCATCACAGCTCACAGCAACCTCCAACTCCTGGGCTCAAGCGATTCTCCTGCCTCTGCCTCCCAAGTAGCTGGGACTACAGGTGCCCGCCACAATGCCTGGCTGTTTTTTGGTTGGAGCTGTCACTGTTCTTTGGCAGACCCAGGCTGGATTCGAACCTGCCATCTCAGGTGTATGTGGCTGGCGCCTTAGCCACTTGAGCCACAGGCGCCAAGCCTATATTTATATATTTCTATGTTTTCGTTGACTTGCCAAATACAATCAGCCCTCCTTTTTGTTTCTGAGACGGAGCCTTGCTATGTCACTCTGTGCTGTGGAGTCACACCTCATGGCAGCCTCAAACTCTTGGGCTTAAGCAATTCTCTTGCCTCAGCCTCCCACGTAGCTGGGCCTGCAGGTACCCACCACAACGCTTGGCTGTTTTTGTTGTTGTAGTTGTTGTTTGGCAGGCCCAGGCCGGGTTCAAACCTATAAGCCCCAGTGTATGTGGCTGGCACCCTCACTGCTGAGCTACAGGTGCCGAGGCACAGCCCTCCTTACATGCAGGTTCCACTTGGGTGGATTTAACCAACCTCAGATAGAAAAATTCAGGAAAAGCCAGGGGTGGTGGCTCATGCCTATAATCCTAGCACCCTGGGAGCCTGAGATAGGCTGATTGCTTAAGCTCATGAGTTCAAGACCACCTGAACAAGAGCAAGACCCATCTCTAAAAGTAGTCTGGAGTTGTGGTGGGCACCTGGAGGCCCAGCTACTCAGAAGGCTGTGACAGGAGGATCACTTGAACTCAGAAGTTTAAAGTTGCTGTGAGCTATGGCACCATGGCACTCTACCAAGGGCAACATGGTGAGACTCTGTCTCCAAAAAAAAAAAAAAAAAACCAACAAAAGAAAAATTCAGGAAAAAATATTCCACAAAGTTCCAAAAAGCAAAACTTGAATTTGGCTTCCACCTTGTACTACTTTGAAACCCTATGACTAAGGTAAAGGCCAAGACCCTCAGGTGGTAAAGTATTTAGAGCTGGGTATTTAAATTTAATTCAATTAAAATCAAGTAAAGGTGGAGCATGGTGGCTCATGCCTGTAATTCTAGCACTCTGTGAGGCTAAGGCGGATGGATTGCTTGAGTTCAGGAATTCAAGACCAGCCTGAGCCAGAACAAGATCTCATTTCTGAAAATAGCTGGATATTGTGGGTACCTGTAGTCCCAGCTACTTGGGAGGCTGAGGCAAGAGAATTGGTTAAGCCCAAGAGTTTGAGGTTGATGTGAGCTGTGAAGCCACGGCACTCTACTAAGGGCAACAAAGTGAAACTCTGTCTCAAAAAACATAAATAAATAAAATAAAATCAGGTAAAATTAAAAATTGAATTCCTTTGTCACACTAGTCACATTTCAAGTACTCAGTAGCCATGTGCATACTTACAGTCTCAGCCAATTGGGAGGCTGAGGCAGGAGGATTGCTTGAGCCCAGGAATTGAGTCTACCCTGGGCAACATAGTGAGACTGCAACTCAAAAATAAGTTGTAAGATATTTCTGTCATCTCAGAAAGTTCTTTTAGACAGTGCTGAGTGTGTCCAAGGAATAGTCAAGAGTGGAAGGCAAGGAGGGCAGGAAGTCGATAACGAGAACCGGCCATGGTATGAAAGACAGATTTTATCCTCTGGTAGGAGGGTTTGAAGCAAGGGAGGGACGTATCTGGCCTCAGCCTGATCCTACAGAGGAGCTTAGAAGAATGAGTTAAACCTCCAGGTAGTTCCTATGTGCAGCAAGGAGTACAGGCTTTCATGTCACTCATTAGTCTGTCATGGCTGAGGGTCATACAAGGACGTAAACTTTCAGACACTTTTGGGTTCTGTAGCATTTTCTTTTCTTTTTTTTTCTTTTTTTTTT